ACTATTCGTTGGTAAAAGAATAGCCCAAGAGTTGGCGGTGGGTGCTGATGACTAGCTGCCTTCCCTCTAGTCTTGCACTGCTAAATTGGGGACGGCTAGCGCAGATATCCCTCGAGTAGCTTTGCGCGAAATTGAAAACAAACAAACAAACCCGCACTGCTCCCCTTCAGTGGTACAGCTGTATGTCTGCGGACTTACAACACAGGAAACCGGGTTTTGATACCCGTGGTGGGCATAGCACAAATAGCCCATTGAGTAGCTTTGTGCTCAATTACAACCAACATTCTCGTGCTCAAGATATTTTCTCATTCTCCGGAAATTTACCTTGTCTGAAAAATTATACCAATGATTGGAAACACCTTGGCCGGCAAAGCATTTCAGGTCTAACCTTTGTAACGAAACAACATTTTCATAATTTTGTCATTTACTGTATTCATTTCATTTCCTTTTGCTTGATATGACATAGCAGTGTTTGTTTCGGTCATGTTAAAACACCTACTCACAAGTTATGTCATAGGAACTTAACATGTAGACTTGCTTCATTTCCTTGTGGATAGCATCCCCACCACCACCAAAGGCACAGCGGTAAGTCTACGAACTTATAACGCTAAAAATCGGGTTTCGATACCGTGGTGGACACACCACAGATAACCTATTGTGTAGCTTTATGCATATTTACGAATAAGCATACACTCCTTATGGATAGTAAAAAACAACAAAAACAATTACTTGATTTATATAACACACCAAATAGTAAAACAAAACAGATAATTTGCTTTAATTCTAAAATATTACCCTATTTAGTGATAAAGATTATTATAGTAATTATCTTCAAATCGCTTGTTATATAACCAATCAGAAAAGAGGGGAAAACTCTGCTTTAATTTTTCCCCAAATGGGGGCCAAAGATCGCCTAGTGGGATCACCTGTTTTAACCACTAGCATCAAAATACAGTAGTGTGTTGTCTGTCAATCAGTCAGTAGACATTAAAAATGACGTCACAAAAGAGACGCCGTTGCAATTTGTGCTGTCGTGACGACAGTAAAACATGTCCATGCCATGATTCACGAGAGGAATAATGCACTCTATAGGCTACAACACACATGACATAATAACTTCAAAAGCAAGGAAGGAAAATATTTGTTACTCTTAATTTGCGTTTTAAAGATAATACTTTCGGGGACCCTGCGCAAGTACATCTAGTAGCAAAAATATATTCAGCATTTCTACGTGATGTATTGTCAGTACAGATCTAACATCCTACAGAAACAGTAGTAATGGTTACCAAATAAGAAATAAGCCTAAAATAATTTGAAAAATAAGCCCAGTAATAATTTTAGGGACCTAGATTTGATTTTATACCAAAGTATTTATTCTATATTTATTATAACAATCCTTGCTAAAGGACTTTGATTCTTGAAATTCATTTCGGTTCAGTGTAAACAGATATTTAGATGAGAGACTTGAGATCTGCTGAAACAATCATGAAGTTTTGGGCAAACAAAAACACTTTTTTTTGGTTGAGCTTGACAAACTTAGGTGGCGTTTCAGCTTTCGTTTTACGATGGTAATTAGGGCAAAGCGATTGTTCTTGAAGATAAAACATTATTAAACACCGATATCGAAACCGGACGAAGTTTACATTCTGTAAGAACCACTGAAGCAAGAAGTAGTAAGAACGATCAAATATTATTGTTATAAGCAGTTAACAAAATAATTACAGTTTATAATTTTATAGTAGTTAGAGAAATAACTCAGTCGTAACATCTTCTCATTAAATATCCAATTAAAACAATGAACTGTTAAACCTACGTGGTGAAAAACAAATGACACTAAGGGCAGAGTGGCAGACATTGTATCGGTGTACTGATCCGATTACCGTGACGTAAGAGTGCAGTAACCCTGGTTGTAAGTTTATAACAATATCAACAATGTGTTTAAAACGTTATACTGGTATCTCCTGTAATTACAATGGTACGGTAAAGCATTTCAACAAACACTACCAGGCTCAGAGTTATTTAAACAAATAATGCCATAATATTATTCATACACCTAAATTATTTTAGGTTACTATATGGTAAGTTAAAAATTACTTTAAAACCCCGTAAATATTATAAGACTAAATATGTTTTGTATTGTCTACAGAAGGTTAAATATTGTTACGTCTCCGTTCGTTAGTTAATTTTCCGTAACTTCGTTCCGACGAAACTTTAGCGACACAAGTCCTTTC